TTTAGAATTAAACTACACCATTCAAGTGAACTCTACAGACATCTGCAGACTTAACACCAGTGCTAGAACATATGCTTTTCTCAGCAGCTCATGGAATGTTCTAAAATAGGTAACATTTTCGGTCATAAAGCAAGGCTTAACAAATGCAAAGTGTTTGAAGTAATTTTGTCCATCTTATCAAACAAGTAGAATAAAACTAGAAATCAGGGACTGGAAAGTTGGCTCAGTGGTTAAGAGAACTGCCTGCTCTTCCAGAGGACCCAAATTCAGTCTAGCACCTACACGATGGCTCACAGCAGAGTGTAGCTTCAGCTCCAGGGGATTCAGCTCCAGGGGGTCCAACGCCATCTTACCTGTGTGGGCATCAGGCATGCACATACATGTATACACATAAGTGAACTTTTAACATGTAAAAACTAATAACTGCTAATGTCAAAAGAGAAACAAAAATGACACAGAAGAGAGACACAGACTGAGCAACACGCCCTTGAATATAATCAGTGGTCCACAAACCAAGGAGGACATTTTAAATTCATATATTTAAACAAAAATTGTGAAATGACAGCACAACTAATCCAAACTTTGGGATACAGTAAATGCAGGTCTACAAGTAAATTTTACATGTAAATATTTACATTAAAAACCAAGTAGAGCAATTATATATACATTAAATAAATAAATAAATAAATCTTAAAAAAAAAAAAAAAAAAGCCCAGATAGGCTGGTGGTGGCGGTGCATGCCTTTAATTCCAGTACTCAGGTGGCAGAGGTACACGGATGTTTTGAGTACCAAGCCAGCCTGGTCTACAGAGCAAGTTCTCAGAGAGTTAGGGCTACCCAGAGAAACCCTGTTTTGAAAAAAAAAAAAAAAACAAAGGGATCTCAAATAAATAATGCCATATTTGGGGGTCTTAAACCAAACTCAAAATCAAGAGATGGAAATGATAAATAATGAAGTGGAAGCTAGAGGAACAATTTATGAAGTAATAAAAACGTAACTGATCTTTGAAAAGATGAACAAACTTCCTTTAGTTATTTTTGGTTAGTCAAAATGAAAAACATAAGGAGTATAAAACTAATGTTTTATTAGTAATAAAACTAATGTAGATTAAGGGCAAGAAAAGGGACATTATAACAGTGAAATCCAGAAGCTCTTTAGGAGATGCTTTTAAAATCTACCTATATTCTAAAAAGTTGGAAAATCTAGAAGATACAGATAAATTCCTAGACAAATATGAGCTACCATTACATCAAGAAGATATAAACAACAAATATATCTATAATAAACAATGAGATTGAGTTTTTGGTTTGGTTTTAAAAGACATGGTTTCTGTGTTTTAGCCCAAGCTTTCCTATAACTCTCTGGGCTGGCGTCATACTCACAGAGATCCGCCTGCCTCTGCCTCCCAAGTGCTGGGATTAAAGGCATGAGCCACCACCTCCACACAGCTGGACAATGAGATTGAAGCAGTAATGATCTCCCAATAAAGAAAAATCAAGAACTGGACAGATTCCTAGTGAATCTACTAACACTTTAAAGAAGAGCTAAAATGAAGGCTTCTCAAAGTGTCCCACAAAAGAGAACAGGAAGGCACACTGCAAACAGCCTATGAAGCCAGCACCACCCTGACTCCAAGACCGGACAAGACACATAACAGCAACAAAAACATTTCAGCCAACTTTTCCAATGATGAACATAAGTGAAAATTTTCTTGCTGGTGCACACCTTTATCCCAGCACTTAGGAAGCAGAGGCAGATGGATCTCTGTGAGCTTGAGGCCAGCCAGGTCTACAAAGCCAGTCCAGGACAGCTAGGGCTATTTATTACACAGAGAAACCCTGTCTCAACAAAACAAAACAAAAAACCAAAACTTGCCTACCAAAGCGTGACCAACTTGGTTTTATTCCAGGATACAAGGATGATTCAACATGAATAAATCATTAAAAGTAGCACAGCACTTAAATACTCAAAGACCATCTTAATAGATGCAGACAAGGCCACTGACAAAATGCAGTGTCTCTCCCTTCACAATAAAAGATCTGAAGAAACTAGGAATAAAGGAGCATGCCTCAACATATCAGAGGCTATATCTGACAAACCTCTAACTAGCATTATATTAAATCGGGGAAAACAAAGTACTTTCTCTAAAATCAGGAATAAGTTATGGGTTGCCGCTCTCTGCTCTTACTCACTATAGTGCTTAAAATCTTAATGAGCCACAAGACAAAAACAAAAACAAAAAACAAATACTTGTGGTAAAGGCAAAAGTCAGCTAAGCTTGTTTGCAGGCAATGATCCTATACTTAAAAGATCCTAAAGATTCTACTGGAAAAGCTCTTAGATGTGATAAGCACTCTCCGCAGAGTAGAAGTGTGTAAAACCAACACAGCATCTTTTCTATCAATGAATTCACTGAGATTGAAATTGGGAGGAATATCTTATTCACAACAGAAAAAGAAAAGCTAGAAATAAGCATACAGGGGCTGGAGAGATGGCTCGCTGGTTTAGAGCGCTGTCTGCTCTTCCAGAGGTCCTGAGTTCAATTCCCAGCAACCACATGGTGGCTCACAGCCATCTATACTGGAATCTGATGCCCTCTCCTGGCATGCAAGTGATCTACAGATAAAGTACACATATATGTAAAACAAATAAATAAATATTTTTTTTAAAAAAAGAAGCTTACATGAGGAGGTGGAAGACTTCTACAATGAAACGTTTTAAGACAATGAAGAAAATGGAAGACACCCGAAGATGAAAAGGCCTCTCATGCTAATGGGTTGGCAGAGTTCATATTGTGGAAAGTCGTTAAAGGCAATCTACAGATTCAGTACAATCCCCGTCAGAATTCCAATGACATTTTCTTGGTTTTCTTTGAGACAAGGTCTCACTGTGGAACTCCGGATGGCTTGGAACTCGCTATATAGACCAGATTATCCTCAAACTCATAGAGATCTGCCTGCCTCTGCCTGTGGGATTGAAGGTGTGCCCCACCTCACATACCAAATAAATTATTTTTAAGTAAAAAAAAAAAAAATCAAAATTTACATTGTAGCACAAAGACTCTCAAATAGCCTTAAACAAGAAGAGCATGCTGGAGATTATCACAATACCTGTTCTCAAACTGTACAACAAGACATGCCATCAGAACTAGCTTGACACTGGCACTAAAGCACACACACACACAAAGAGAGAGAGAGAGAGAGAACATGCTCACCAATGAAGTAGAATAAGAGGACCAGAAATAAATCCACACAGTTATAGCCACATAATTGTGGGCAAAGGTGTTTAAAGTTTATATACTGGTAAAAAGATTACCTCCTCAACATATGGAGCTGGGAAAATGATTTCCACATATAAAACAATGAAACTGGGCTCATAAGGCCCAGCCCTCCCTGAGGATCCACAAGCAGTTAAAGGTAGCTGGTGGAGAGAGACATTTTCTTCAGTGGTGTAAGCACTAGTAAGATGCCCACGTCCCTATAAGCAATCCTAATAAAACTCACTGGGTCACATACACAGGGACCTGAAAAGAGGAGGGGAATTATGTGGGGAGCAGAAGGACTGCTGAGTCCCCCCGCCCCCACACACTGAGCAGCTCCTAGGTTCTCAGCCTCTCTGGTGTGCACATGGCCATTGTTGGATTATGCAGCCCCTATCAAGGAAACCAAGCTTTCAAATCCCCCTTTGTGATACAGATTCATTCTCTAAGCTTGCTACCCTGGAGAACCCCAATACAATGTCCCAGCCACAGGAGAAAAAGGGGGCCACATATGGACATGGACATGCATGCGCACGCGCGCGCGCGCACACACACACACACACACACACACACACACACACACACACACAGAATATTTCCCTTCCCTCTCCTCTTAGTGTTAGGTGGGCTAATTGGATGGCATCCAACAATGGTAGATCTCACTCAGGCCAGACACTCATATAATATCCTCAGCCTCTATGGTTTGGATACGGCATGAACCCAAGGGTCCACATGCTGGAAGACTGCCAGAGCAGCAAGACGATACAGCATGTTTAAGAGGTGAGGCCTAGGGGAGAGCCTTAGGTCACTGCGATCGGCACCCTTGGAAGGCAGTGACTTTCCTGCCTCAACCTTCTGAGCACCCTGAGCTCTCACAAAAACAAGCTGTTAGAACTGAGTCCCGCCCCAAAACTGCTCCACTCCTTCTTGTCAATACCGTGGTGACTTCCAGCACAATTGCTTCTACCATGGTGTTTTCAGGCCTCTTCAAGAGGCCAAACCACCATACGGTCATTCTGAGCCGCACCTCCTGGGCATCCAGCTGCTTCTCCCGGGAGCTACTGACCCTCTGTCTCTGCTTGTCAAAGCCGGGATGGGGGTGGGACTTGCTGGCCAGCCAGCCTAGCCTACTGGGTAGATTTCAGTCCAGGGAGAGACCCTGTGTCAAAAAACAAAAATAACCCCCCTGCAAAAACAAAAACAAAAACAAAAACAAAAATCAAAAAGTGGACAGTGCTTGAGAAACAACCCATGAAGTTGTCCTCTGGTCTCCAAACACATGTATGTGCATGACCACACACACACAAGTGTGAGAATCAGCTTCCCCCCCCCCCCCCCCCGGGAACAGTGGTGAAGAGAAGCAGCTGAGCTTGGGCGTGTGTCCTTGGTTTGACTCTCAGCTCCACCCAATGGCCCTTCTGAGCCTTACCTGCCTCTGCCGCAGGCCACCACCAAGCTTTTCTGACCTGCAGCTAGCACTGGCTCTTTCTGAGCTCCTGAGAAAGGCTCTAGTTGTTTCTTGTAGTAACATTTAAAAAAATTCTCTATAAATCAATGCTCCCCCCATTATATCAGCTTCAGACCCTACTGGATCTTACACACACACACACAAACGGCTTTGAAAGTTAAGCAGATTCTTTGCATAAAACGCCTGATGTATACTAGATGCTCGGTTGGTGTTACGTTCCTCCAGAACAGCCCCATAAAAAGGACGGAAAGACAGACAGGAACTCAGGTGGGAATGTTTGTTGCATGCCCCTTTAATGTCCTCTGTCTTGGATGCTCACTTCTAAGATTGGCCTCTGGGGTACAGAGATTATCAGGGAGGGATGCTACAAGCTCTGGCTCTTCAGGGAGGCATCCTTGTCCCCGATGTAGCTGTGGATCCATTCAAGGTAGCGGCTCACTTTGGTGTAGACGCCGTAGTTGTTGAGTTGCCCACAGCCCTCACCCCAGCTCACCAGGCCCACTAGGAACCAGGTACCCCGAAAGAAGACCACCATAGGTCCCCCGCTGTCTCCATCACAGGCATCTCTCCTATCACCAAGGATGCCTGCACAGAGCATGTTCTCTGAGACCACATTGTTCATGACCTGCATGCACTCGTTTCGTGGGGCCACGGGGATGCGGATGAAGGTGAGAATGGAGGTGCGGTTTCTTCTGCCATCTTTGTCTCTGTCACTTTGATAGCCCCAACCTGTCACCACTGTCTCCCGGCCAGCCTGAGTGAGCTCCCGCTCTGCTAGGCCGTTGTTGGGCAGGCAGATGGGCACTATGGTTTTAGAGAGAGTGGCTGCCTTGGCCAGGCGAAGCAGTGCAATGTCATTGTCACTGGTGCTCCGGCTGTAGTTAGGGTGGATGAAAACCTCCTTGATTTCCAGGTCCAATTCCCAGTGGTCCTTGCGTCGCAGATCATACTCACCTGCAAGGCAAGGATGCTATTAGAGCAGGCTGGAGAGGCCCACATGGCCGTGGTGCTTCTGCTGCCCTGAACTGGGTCCCTGTGCCTCAGATCCTTACCAAAGGTGGGGTTGAACATGAGTAGGTGGATCTTAGGGGCAGGGGCAGGGGCAGGGGCAGGGGGCAGAGAGGGGAAGAGAACGAAGAACAACATTGCTAGAGAGACTAGTTCCAGGGCAGTAAGACCTAAAAGGGAACACCATCAAGACCCTGGAAGGACGATCTGAACCACAGAAAAGAAGCAGCTTCTCTTCACCGACTGATGGCTCTGGGAAGCAGGGCCGTAAGGCCATCATTCGCGCTGAAGGTAGTTGTATGTGTCGATTTCGTCATTCTCAGTGAGCCATTCTTTTGCTATGTATGCGCTTGCATATGTGTGTATTTGCTCATGTTCTCGGAGGACGCATGTGAGCGAGGATGTATGTGCTCGTGTGTGAGTTCATGCAGAGGCCAGGGGTCGCTGTTTGGTTTCTTCCTCAATTGCCCTCTGCCTTATATTTGAGGCAGAACCTCTCACTGAAGCGAAAGCTCACAGATTCAGCTAAGCTGGCTGGCCTGCAGACCCCGGGGACCCTCCTGTTTTTGCCTCACCAGCACTGGGATTAGCTATAAACTAACATGTTTGGATTCTGTTGGGTGCTGGGAATTGAACTCAAGTCCTCATTTTAAGGAGTATGCTATTCCTTGACCCACTTTTTTTTTTTAATTTGGGTATAATGTCTGCTAAAAAGCCCCTACAGATATTTTCAGAGTAGGGCCTAGACTTGGGGACCCTCACACTCCTAAGGAAGCAGCTAGCAAGGCTTGCCAGCGTTGCACAGCTCCACACTGTCGGTTTATGTGACGCTCACAGTATCACGGGTCTGACCACAGCGGGGTGCTGAGGCCCACGCAGCTGGCTCCATAAGAGTGGGAGTTGGGAGACCTGGATGTGTGACACTCCTCACAGCGTTTGGGCCTAGATCTGAGATGAGCACCAGAAGTTTTCCCCAGCTGACTGGAGTCTCAGTGTGAGCACGTGGCTAGCACGTTTGCCTCCGTCCCCCATGCGTCCTCTGTGGAGCCTAAGTATGTAACTGCCAGGGTCACCCACCCTTGGACAGCAAGCCTGCCTCCCATGTTCCACCCCAGGCTCCAGGCTGCTCCTGCCTGGCCGTAGCCCTCACCAAGCCTCACGGTAAGCTTCTTGGTGTTCTCCATGCAGTGGGCCGCCGTCAGCACCCAGGAGGGGTGAATGAGCACTCCTCCACAGGCCAGCTTCCTCTTGGAGTCCAGAAGGATAGCCTGAAAAGAACATCACACAGCTACCTCTGACAACTCCTGGCACAGGACCCGGAGTCTTACAGGGCTCCAAGGGTTTTCCAAGCACTCCTCTGTTTTCCCGGTCCCACTGGTGCACATAGACTTAAGTCTTTACCCAGTGTTTGCTATTTGTGACACTGTCTGGTGTCACATGCCTGTGTCAGGGCATGTCCCTGACATGGCCTATGCAGTTCCTATAGTCACCCTCAGCCATACCAAATGCTCTGGGGTGCCTTTGTGGTACTCAGGCTGCTTGAGGTATCTCTCTTGGGCTTCCCTCTGCCCCTGTCCTGAGAGCCATCCTGGTTCTCATAATACTGAGCTATTTCCAGAGTTTCTGAGCTCCCCAAATTTGTGCTTACCCATCATCCCGGAGCTGGGGAATTACTGGTAAAGATTTACATTTACTGAGCACCATGTGAGTGTTTACTCCATGTTGAAGTGGGGGATGGTCCAGGTCAGCACTCCTTTGTACCTCTGTCCTTCTCCGTAAACATAGTCTCTGCCTCCCATCTATGCTGTGCTGCCTAGTATTTTCTTTGTTTGGTTGATTGGATTGGTTTTTCAAGACAGGGTTTCTCTGTGTAGCACTGGCTGTCCTGGAACTTGCTCTGTAGACTGGGCTGACCTTGAACGCAGAGATCCACCTGCCTCTGCCTCCTTAATGCTAGGATTAAAGGCATGCACCACCACCACCTGGCATGCTGTCTAGTTTTATGTAAACTTGACACAGGCTAGAGCCATTGGAGAAGAGCAAGCCTCAGTTAAGAAAATGCCTCCATGAAATCCAACAGGAGAGCGTTTTCTTAATTATGATTGGTGGAGGAGGACACAGCCTGTGGTGGGTGGTGCCATCCCTGAGCTGGTGGTCCTGGGTTCTATAAGACAGCAGGCCGAGCGAGCATGGAGAACAAGCCATAAGCAGCACCCTCCGTGGCCTCTGCATCAGCTCCTGCCTTCATGTTTCTTCCTTGCTCGAGTCCCTGTCCTGACTTCCACTGATGATCAATTGTGATGTGGAAGTGCAAGCCAAATAAACCCTTTCCTCCCCAAGTTTCTTTACTTGTGGTGTTTCATCACAGCGATACTAACCTTAACTAAGACATACGCCTTTCCCTGCGCATGCCCGTTCCTGTCCTTACCAGCCCTCACCTGTACCCCTCAAGCAGAAAATCTTCTCTCATGCCATCAGGGGTCCCAGGAGACTGTTTCCTCTCACCTGCCAAGGACTGTCACCCTGCTTTGTCAGTGTTCCATTGACGATCCTTGGATCTGGTTCTAGTTCTTTTTCTGGGTTTGTGTCCCGTTTGAAGTTCTTGCGTTTCTTTTCCATCCACTTCCCCAGCTTCCCACATGGAAAATTCACTGGAAGTCAAGGAGGGGTGTTAAAGGGCTTCCCAGGAATGACTCCCACAATGCCCTCTCATGCCTGCTTCTGTTTGTAGGCTAGGCTAGGAGGTTCAAGAAGCGCAGCTTGGGACTCAAAACCAAATAGTGCCACCTACTGGCAAGAGCTGGCCAAGCAACATTACTGATCTGCGTTACTGCTAGTGACTAAAGATATCCTGGATTCATTACCCGCAAGGGCTGAAGGTGATCGTTCCTGAGATGTCTAAGAAAAGACTTCTTGTCTGAATACTACACATCTCCTAGGGAGATAATAAATTACATGGGTCTGGAGGCTGTAGCTCACTGAGCTTACAGGCACATACAGCCATATTTGTCTTTCTAGGCGGGTGCTGGGGATGCAGACAAGGGCCCTTGTGCTTGCATGTAAGCTCTCTCCCAACAGAGCCGCCTCCCACTCTGGCTGACTCTTGGAAGGCGTCATTTTGAAGTCTCTCTTTCCATAGCAGTGAGCACACCACAGAAATCCTGGGGCTGATGGTCTGCAGGTCTGTTCCTGTAAGTGCTCCCTGCTGGGTGGGGGATCTAAGCTGGAAAGCAGCAGAACCCCATCAACAGGGCAGGCAAGGAATGACGGAGTGGAAAGGAGACCGCAGCAGCAAAATTCCAGAAGCTAGCCAGTACATAGACACAGTAACTGACCTGACAATCTAAATGAAATCAACAAATAACGAGGGGGACAGAGGCCCAAGGAAGTTTCCAGTACCAGGAATGGATTACATCTAGCTGAGTTCTTTGCAAAACATGTCTCATGTGAACCTCCAGGTGACCCAGGCTACTGCCGAAGACGTTGGTGGTTCTCCACAAAATGATGGTAAAGTAAGGGCCTATTGCTGAAAGTAACGCCTACAGAACCCATTGAACATGGAGAATTTGAGCTCCCTAGAGCATTCATCCCATATAGACTAGAAGGTACTCTGCAAGCTACCAAAGGAGAAAGGTTAAAAAACAAAACAAAACAAAACAACAACAACAAACAACCTAGCTACAAACCCTTCCATCTACTAGAGTGACCTGCGTGCAAGAAACGCTGGTGCAATCATGGCACAAAATTTTTGGGACTAGCCAACAAATATCTGATTTGAGTTAAGGCCCATTCCATGAAGCAGAACCCATACCCAATGCTGCCTTGGGTGGCCAAAACCCACTAGAGACTAGATAGCCTAGGGACCTAGGGGAAAACCAAATACTACTGTTCTGCTAAAGGAACATAGTGATCAAATGACTCCTGTTACACTCAGAGACCAGTGCCTTGCCCAGACATCATCTGAGAAGGCTCCTCCCAAAGCAGATGAGATCTATGCAGTAAATGAGAGACCTTAAAACACTCGGTCCATAAAGAGATATCTCTGTCAAATCCCTTCTCCTCCGAGCTCAGGAAGCTCTACAGAAGAGGAGACGGAGAGTGTAAGAGCCAGAGGGGGTGGAGACCATCAAGGAGTCAAGGCCTTCTAGACACAACATAGGAACTCACAGAGACTGGCAGCATGCCCAGGGTCTGCATGGGTCTGCCCCAGGTGCGCGAAGAAGTGGACTCACGCCCCGCTCCTAACCCGAAGTGATCAATTAATAGTTACTTGAAAACTAAGTTCTTTCCAAGGGAGTCTAACCAGAGAAACAATCCACTCTGAAGGTTTGGCTCCGTGCCCAGCAGCAGATGGCCGACACAAAATGAACGTGTGGCGAGTGTGGTGTGTGTGTAAGGTGACTTATTTAAACTTTTTCTCAAAAAAGGAAGAAGGAAAAAAGAGAAGAGAAATAGTTGGGAAGAATGTCTGCTTCATATGTGGCCATACTATAGGTTCAATATATATATATATATATATATATATATATATATATATATATATATATTTTTTTTTTATATATATATATATATATATATATATATATCAAACATCTCTAGAAACCGAAGAGGAATCGCCTCCATAAGGGTACAAAAGATGAGAATAGAGCCATACCCAGGAAACCGCACTGAGCTCCTTCCAAAGAGATGCGAAACCCTGACTTCTTCAACTACACGCATTTGTGAACTAATTCAAAAGAAAAACTCAAGGAAAATCTAAAAGGAAGGCGGAATTGGGGTTCCGCGAGGAAGCAATACCTCCAGGAGGGTAGTCGGAGGAAGATGCCGATGACTTAATTCCTAGGTCAGCTCAGACCGTGTATGTTTGGCAGAGGCAGATAGAGACACAGAGGGAGACAGACAAACGATTATACTCCAGGGATGGCCCACGGGCGCCTGAAGGCTGGCAACAAGCAAAAGAGGTGGGGGGAGGGGCAAGGGTGCTATGTCCACCTGTCTTGGGTCCCCAAGATGTGCTCGCTCTCTCTCCGGGAGCGCTGCCTTGACTCACCTGTGGACTTGCACTGCACATGGTCGTCTGCCAGCTCGTAGCCAGGGGCGCAGGTACAGCGCCTTCCGCCTCCCTCCTCCAAGCAGTAGTGCCAGCAGCCGCCGTTTTTCACCTGGCAGTCGTGGAAGCGCAGCTCTGCGCGACAGGAGAGGGCAGGCAGCTCCGGGTGGCCCCACTGCTTCCAGACCCCACCTCAGCCCACCCTTCTGCCTCGCCGAGGTCCCCTCACCCTTTTGGCAGAACCTGCCCTCCCAGCCCTTATCGCAGCTGCAGCTGAAGCTGCTCAGGCCATCGATGCATGTGCCATGCCCACAGCATGGGCTGTCGCACTCGTGGTCCAAGGGCGGAGCCGTGCACTGGTCACCATCTGCGAAGGACAGCGGGATGGGGAAGTAGCGGGTGCGGGTACCTCCATTTTCCTCTCCAGCCTCCACTGACCCTGGAGCAAGCAAGCATCGGCTATCCGTCCACGTGTCTAGAACTCACTCACCGAAGTACTTGATCCAGAAGGCCAGCTGTGGCGGGAGAGAAGGCAGTGTGAGGGCTCTGCCAGGCTACCTAGGGGAAGCCCACAAGATATATTGCCTCCTCCTGGATATGCTGTCTGGGGAGTGGGAAGGGCTTCCAGACAAACATCTGCCCTAGTGCCCCTCGCTACCCACCCCAGAACACCGCTCTGCATGAAGCAGGATCTCTGCCCACTGGGTCACCTACTCCCTCCAACCCCCACCCCACTGTCCTCTGTGGAAAGTATCTAAACCCCTTACAGGCTCTTCGGCCTCCTACAGCCCTATCATGCAAAGCCTCCTAGCTTTGCATTATCCAGGCTTGAGACAAGACTTGCTGGCTCAGGGTCAGTGTTTCTAACTAGGCCTCAATTAACTGAGGCCCAGAATGCCCCATGGGGACAGACATTTGATCACGCACCCCGTAACCCCGAGGTGTAGGTCAGGGGGGAGGAGAGGAAGATCGTAGGGTCATAGGGAAGGAGAGACGGAGACAGGCAGTAGTGGCCACTGGAGGGAAGGCTGCCCAGACTCTGTTTTCCCTGGTTCTGGTTCCTGCAGTCCCCTGGGCCCTGACCAAGTCCTTAAAGAAGAGCAGCACCCACAGGACTAACCAGCGCTTACACTCCAAAAAGGTCCTCGACGGCAGTAGTCACGCCCACTGTTCCTTTCCATCCCATCCAGCCACCAGCCCTCCCTCTGGACCTAGCCTGGTGCCCTTACTGTGTCATCCACATTCTGGAAAATCTCCTGGGCCTCCTCAAAGTCACAGAGCTCCTCCACGCACTCGCGTTCCAGGTTGCCTGGCCACATCTCCTCCAGGAAACTGTTAGCACGTTTGACCCGGAGCAGCTGGTTTGCGTGCTCGCTGCTGGAGAACACTGGGTCTGGTTCGGGATGGGGGTCAATGTGGTGGAGGGACTGGAGAAGGGTCTGACGAACCCCAGCTAGAGAGAGCCAGGGGAGGCCTCGCCCTGGCACCTCTGCTCCTATTCTAGTTCCCAGGAGGGGTTCTGTGCCCGGCTTTTCTGCCCTGTTCCCGGGCCCCCTCGGGAGAACAGCAGTTTGGATCTTGAGGAGTGCGTGCTGTTAGACAGACAGTCTTTCCTTTGAGGACATGCCTCACATACTCAACAAGGTGTCTTGGGCAGATCGCAGCGCTTAGAGGCAATGCCAGATCCTGCTGCCGCCCTTAAAACTGCACAGTGCACGAAAATAGCCTTATATAATGTCTAATAACAAATGGACAGTAACGAAAGAGTCAGACTGCACAGTGAAATCTGTCTTACGCTTCTCCCAGGGTAGGAAAGTGAGCCCTTCCGTCTCACCTCTTGATTTCCAAACGCACCCTCTATCATACAGTCCCTATCTCTTTCCCTGGAGCAGGGACACCTGGAGAACAGAGACCTGTCACTTGCTGTCTCCTCAGCTCTGAGCGATAGATGCCTGTCGGGCAGGAGAACGGCTAAGAGGGAGGAACCAAGCTCGAAGCATGCAAGAGGGGCTTGAGCGGTAAGCGCAGGGGATGTGCCCACCTGAGCGTGGCAGAGAGCTAGCGTGGGCAGGGCAGGCTGGAAAGGGGCTTGGTAGGGGGGTGGGGCGCTCAAAGAAGAGCACGGTTGAAGAGGTGGCTGGGGCGGCTCCAGAGAGGCCCGTCTGCACCTGTGCTGTGGAAAGCCCAGGGGAGGTTCCCCTGTGCGCCCAGGGGAGGTTTTGAGGGTCTTGCAGTGAGGTGAAGACAGTCTTACCAGGACGGACCAGTGTGCTAGAAACGCCCCAGGTGGACATGAACAGCAGGAAGACTGTGAACTGCCGCATCCTGAAGCCGCTGACACCTATCTGAGGAGAACTTCTAAGCTTCAAGGACACACACAGCCCTGCTGCTCTCCAGTGCCCCCTCCCCTCCCCCTGAAAGTGGAATTAAAGGCTCATCCGTGAGCAGGGGAGATACCTCACTCATTAAAGTGCTTTCCATGCAAACATAAAGACTTAAGTCCGATCCCCATATAAAACAAAAACAAGAATCTACACATCATGGCACATTCCTGTGGTTCCAGTCCTGGGGAGGCAGAGACAAGCAGATCTCTGCGGACTGCTAGCCAGCCATCCCAGCCTGCCTGACCAGCTCCAGTGGAACAGCTCCAGGCCATCGGGAGGCTCTGCCTCAAAAAACAAGGTGAATAGCTCCTGAAGGAAACATCTGAGGTTGACCTCTTACCTCCCAATGTTTGTGTGCCCACGTGTTCGTGCACACACAAATGCAAAACAAAGCAAGAAAGGAAGGAAGGGAGGACAGGACATGTCTGTGTAGAAGCTGGGGCTCGGAGTGGGGTGTGCTGTTCACTTGGCTCTTAATGCTGGGCACGCTCCAGCTACCTGACAAGCAGACAGCTCACTGCCTGAGGCAAATTCCAGTTCATACTGAAGAAAGACTGGACAAGATGTTTACGTGCTCCTTGCCTCGGTTTCCTCATTTGTAAAATGGATAGAATATGTCTGTTTCATAAAGAGTTGCTGGAAAATAAATAGTAACCCACATAAAGCTCTTTCTCGTGTGCACAGATATGCGCATGAGTGGAGACCGGAGTATCTTGGCTGTTCTTCCCCAGGCATTGTCCACTTTTTTTTTTTTTTTTTTTTTTTTTTTAAAGACAGCCTTGGCTATCCTGGAACTTTCCATGTGGACCAGGCTTGCCTTGAACTCATAGAGATCTGCCTGCCTCTGCCTTTTGAGTGTAAGAACTAAAAGGTTGTGCCTCCACTCCTGGCTTCCACCTTACTTTTGGAGATGGGGTCTCTTGCTGCCAGGAACTCGGTAACTGGGCTGACTAGTCAGCAAACCCAAGGGATCTACTTGCTTCTGCTTTCTAGCACTAGGGTTGTAAGTGTGTGCCACCGTATGTGGCTTTGTTTGTCTGGTTGGTTGGTTGGTTTTTCGAGAGACAGTTTCTCTGTGTAGCCTTGGCTGTCCTGGACTCACTTTGTAGACCAGGCTGGCCTCGAACTCAGAGATCTGCCTACCTCTGTCTCTCAGAGTGCTAGGGTTACAGGCGTGTGCCACCTCGACCGACTCACATGTGTCTCTAATAAAACGAACAAACAAACGTGTTCTAGGAATCGAACCTGGGTCCTCATGCTTACAGGGCAAGCACTTTTTCAACTGAGCCATCTTCCCCAGCCCCCCCCACCTCTCCCCCAAGCTGTTAAACAGGCTGTAGGATCCTGGAGGGTTGCAGTTCAGTGGGAGAGAACACACTTAGCATGCTTAAGACTCTGTGTTCAATCCCAACACCAGAACACACACACACACACACACACACACACACACACACACACACACACA